TCTGATGGTATTTTAATTTCTAGTCTCACCTCGTGGTGCTCGGACAGTGTAGTGGGAACTCTCTACGTTTTCGAATTTACGGGTGTTCTTTGGCCATTTAAAAGTCAGTGTTCATGAGTCTTCCGGAGGAACTTGAAAAGGAGTATTCTCTGGTTTTCAGCTACAAAGTTCGGTGTATGTCAGTCAGGGCTGCCCCATCGTGTAGGCAGTCTGTTTCATTGCCTGCATTTTATTCATTCAGACATAAACGTGAACTGATCTTTCCTTCAGTTTCTGTCAACACGCGTGTCCAGTAACTTCTGCTCTGTAACGCTGCTGCTGTGCCTGGTGCCCCAGGGTTCACATCCTGTCCTGGTGTCTTCCTGCGATGGGCATTTGGGCATTTGAGTTGTGTCCAGTTTGGAACTGTTGTGAATGTTGCTGCTGCGAACATTATGGCTCCTGTCCTTTGGTGAACAAAGTGTGTAGTTCCGTAGGGTAGAGAGATACCTAGGAGAGGAATAAATAGGTCATAGTAATGAACATGATTCTGCCAAACCAGCACGTCAGTTAAAAAATATGATTCTGTCAATTCAACCACAGCTCTCTTTGAGGTGTTTTTGCTCTTTTTCCACTAAATGAAGTCACCATGGATTTTTTCACACTTGAACATTCAGACAATCGCAGAGCCGTTCTCTTTAGCTTTACTGTGACGTGACATATATAGTTTCAGAGCTTCTGTCTGCCTCGTAGTAACGTCCTCGGGAAGAATCATAGATATAGTGTCCCTGAGTGTTGAGAACTGGCCACCTTGGGCCATCCAACAGGAAGACAGCATGAGCTCGTGTGTGATTTAAAATTTTCTCATAGCCACATTGAAAAGGTAGAAACAGATTAAATTAATTTTAATATAATACATTTTACTTAACCCAATATTATCTAAAACATTATCATTTCAATATGTAACCACCAATACAGAAAAGTCACTAAGCTGTTTGAAGTTCTTTGTTTCGGACTGGGTCTCGGAAACGGTGTGCATCGTACACGGAAGCACAGCTCAGTGGGGCTGCCGTGCTTCAAATGCTCATGTGTGGCCGCTAGCTGCCGTGTTGGGCAGCACCGGGCTGTGGCTTGCGTGTCACAGACAGCTGTAGCAGCTGTGAGATCCGTCGGTTGCTTGCTTTCCCTGCATCCTGTAAGTGGTGCTGGTATCTTCTGCCTCTGAGGTCATGGAGGAAACACCGGCCTGGCTGCATCGTCTCGTGGCCTTGCCTGTTGGCACTTCTTATAGATGGGGCCATACACTGTGTGGCCTTTAACGTCTGCTCCGTCCCTTAGCAAAGTGCTTTCAGGGTTCTTCCGTGTTGCAGCACGTGTCGGTGCTTCATCCGTCTTTACGGCCGGGTGATGCTTCTCTGTCTGGATGTGCCCCGTGGGTTCACCCCTCCAGTAGAATCGTCTCGTGGCCTTGCCTGTTGGCACTTCTTATAGATGGGGCCATACACTGTGTGGCCTTTAACGTCTGCTCCGTCCCTTAGCAAAGTGCTTTCAGGGTTCTTCCGTGTTGCAGCACGTGTCGGTGCTTCATCCGTCTTTACGGCCGGGTGATGCTCCACTGTCTGGATGTGCCCCGTGGGTTCCCCACTCCAGTAGAAAGCAGCCTTTGGGCTGTTTCCACTTTTTGACTCTCGTGAGCTGTGCTGCTGTGAACACTGGTGCACGGTTTTTAGTGTGAATTGTTTTCATCTCTCAGGTGGGGCTGCTTCCGGAGCGAGGCTCCATGCTCAACCTATGTAACTGCCACTGTTTTCCACAGGGGAGGTGACACCATTTACATTCCCACCAGCCACGTGTGAGGCTCTCGGATCCTTTTTGACTGTTATTGTTTCTTTTCCTTTTGAATCATTTCTGTTCTATTTCCCAGTGTCCCCCTCTCCCTGGGCTACTCCCATTTCAGCTTCTTTCTAGTGGTGGTTGGATAGATTTTCCTTAGGGTTTCAGCCCCCTTGTCCTGGGGGCTGCACTGTAGCCACGTGCTCCCTGGCAGTGGGCTCGTCGGGCCACAGTCTTGGGCCTTGCCCTCCAGATGAGGGGACGGATCACCCAGAAAAGCTCCCCAGGAGCAGGGCAGTGTGTCGAGTCGTGTCCTGGCGAGCATGCTGGCGGGTGGGTTCTGTGTGAGCGGTCTAGCGGTTTGAAGGTGTTTGCAAGAGAGAAGGGCTTGGGACGGGTCCACATCCCCTGAGCAGGCGGAGAGCGTGCAGGACGCTCCATGTGTCCCTCCTTGCTCCTCACACAGACCCTCTGGGCCAGGATGACCTGTTCCCTGGCCTGGGGCCCAGAGAGGGAGATCAGTGCCCCCGCCAGCTTATTGCCACCCCTCCCCTTATTACACTGTGACCCAGGGATGGAGCGCCCCTGGGAGTTTTTCCTCGCTTCTCCTAAGGGCCCCTCAGAGTGAGGCACCTTTAAGGCATGCACTGAAGGCTCAGGTGGGGAGTCGAGGAGGCTGCAGTTCTCAGCTCCATGTGGAACTCGGGGTCAGATTCCAGACCCTCCGCCTCACACCGCTGCACCCAGGGTGCTAGCTGGCCCGGCTCGAGCCAGCCCTGCCTTGGGAGCCCCCACTTCAGCTGCAGGGTCGGCCCAGAAGACCCTGATGCAAGGGTGGCATCTCGGGCTGCCTGTGCCCAGCCCCTGGCTCTGCTGGTCACAGACTAGGCCATGCTTCGTGCATAGAGATGTCCTCCGGACAGAGCAGGTTATGACAGCGGGCTATGACCACTGCCTTGCACTATGCTTGTGCAGGTGGCCGCACAGCCACCAGAGAGCCCGAGGTTTGCAAAGAATGTTTCTTCAGCACCTCGCTGAGCGTGGCAGACGTCTGCCAGACCAGAAGATTCAGAGGCCATAGGCATCTATCTGGAAGGTAATGATTTCTGTTTATTTGAAAAGTGTGGGACTTGGGTGGTCTTGCTGACCGTTGCCAAGCGTCTCAAGCTTCAAACTGCCCAGTCTTGGCAGCTTATCGCCTCAGTTGCTCGGGCTAAGCCCCCTGAGTCGCCTCTCGTCCTGCATCTGGGCAGATGCAGCTGGCTCTCCCTTCGGATCGGCTCCAGAATCTGGCCTTTTCCCTGCCTCTAGCCACCCAGGCCACCTTCCTCCATCACCAGGTGCTTCCTGCAGCTGCGGCCACTCTGCTCAGCCAGAGACCTCAGCTCCGCTCAGGCCTGTCCAGGGCTCCGTCTGCTCAGAGGCAAGGCTCTCCTGGGCCGTCCTCCCCAGCTACAGTGGCTGCCGGTTCCTCCCAGCACGGGTCACTCTTCTCCAGAGTGGCTGCGGGGCCCCTGTCCCCTCCCTGGTCTCTGCACACTCCTCCGGAAGGCCGTCCTTGCCAGTCTTAAGATCTCGAAATGCCCGGCCTACCCCGCCTCCTGTTCTGGCTCACACCTAATGTACATTAAATTACGCATCTTTTCCTTATACCTCTGTGTTCTGCGTGCCCTCCCTCACTGAGTGGCAGTGCCACGGTGGCGGGCCGCAGCCTTTGTCTCTTTCAGCTTCTCTTTGCGGGCTGCCGTTGCCCCCCAGAGGTACGTCTGCGGGAAGAGACAGCGGATCCAGGGCCAAGGGCCACAAGCCACTCCCAGGCGGCAGCAGGCTCTCCCGAGTCCAGGGCCCTTATTTCTTACCTGCATCAAAGACTGTAACTGGGATCCTGGTCGCGTTTTCTTTTGCTGTCTGGTTAGGAAAGTTTTACCAGTCGATGCTCCACTGTCGCCATCAACACTCCGAACGAACCATCGGCCGGCCATCCCAGGCCGAGAGGCGGGGCTCGCTGGGAGAGGAGCGGCCTCCCCGGCCTCCCCTTCGCCGCTGTCTGGCCCTGCGCCGCCCAGACGCGCGAGTCCCTGATGTCGCCCACTGCGCATGCTCACTGGGCCCGGGGCTGCATCACGCGCCGCCTGCCACCCGCCGGCCGCCTCCTGGGTGCCCACTTGCCTCAGCCGCGGTCGGGCACTGCTCGGCTCCAGAGCCCCTCTGACTCCCTTCCTCCTGGTGTTATTCTCCCCGGCTGCTCGCAGTTGCCGTCGGAGGCTGTGCAGTTCCAGGGCCTGTCCCTCCCTGCGTCTTCTGCGCGGGGCGGGCCGGCGGGAGCCACGCAGGTCGTCAGCCCTGACACAGAAGCGGGCCCCTCGGCTTTGCCCTGCGTGCGAGCCTCCCGCGCCGCCAGCCGCGTGCGGGGTGCGCCTCTCCTCTGCTTCCCCGCTGTTCGGGGTTAAGCGCCGATGGGCGTGGCTGGCAAAGAGTCCGGACATCCGGGACTCAGACCTGTTCCCGCGCCCTCCCGCCAACCCCTCAGCACCCCCGACACAGCTTTTCCTTTTGTGGATAAGGACACTTGACACGGTTGACCGGAGCGTCACCTGAGCCCCGCGTGTCCCTAACCAGTCTTCAGCCCCCGACGGCTTGGACGCCTGGCAGAATGAGAGGCCTGCGGTCCTGTGGCTGGATCCCTCCACCTGACACCTCTCGATTCGAGGCCTGGGTGTCGTCCCTCGCACTTCAGTGACAGTGGCTTTCTTGGGGAGTGAGAGAGCAACGTCCACTGGGGGCTGCAAGGCTGGTGCGGGGTCTGGAAGCCAAGGTCACGGTGGAATGGCACCCACAGAGTGTGCTGTCACCATGTACCTGCGCTGAAACCCTCCGTCGCCCGTCCCGTGTTTTCCTTCCGCCCTTACCTCCGTCACCAGATCCTCGGGCCAGGGCGCTCTGGTCCGGCATGGGAGCTGGCACTGCCGCTGCCCTGGCCGCGGGAGGCCCTCCGTCTCCCCCTGTGTAGAGCGCGTCCCGCAACATGGCATTTGCTGATTGTTTGGCCTTTTTCTCCGTCCTGACAAGCGGCAGGTTCACGAAGGTCCCGCGGATTAGCTGTAATGACCAGGGATCTGCCGACAGTGCTCAGTCAGGAGGGGACTAGGGGACACGGAGCCACTGACTGTCTCTCCTTTCGCCCCCAGAACCCCCCAAGATGAGCCCAGTGGTGGAGCCGCTGTCCTGGATGCTGGGCACCTGGCTGTCAGACCCGCCGGGAGCCGGCACCTTCCCGACGCTGCAGCCCTTCCAGTACCTGGAGGAGGTGCACATCTCGCACGTGGGCCAGCCCGTGCTCAACTTCTCGTAAGTCCGCCCGCGTCTCGCGAGAACGTGGGCTGATGGACAGCCCGCGCAGTGGGGGGTGTTTCCGAAAGGCGCGCTCTTCCCCGCACCCCCAGCCGCGACGCACAGTGAACGGGTGACCTGGGCTTGCTTGTTCTCCGCATGTGACCGTGCCAGGCTGACAAGGCCTCGGGGTGTCACCTCAGATGTAAAAATGGGTGCACATGCGCAGCGAAACCCCTTGTGGGGAGCTGCGTCCGCGTGCGAGTCAGGCTCCCGTGTCACCGCGGGCAGGAGGCCCGTCGGGGTCTCGGAAGCTGCTAGTGCTGTGTCCCTCGGATCCCCGCTGGTCGGCGAGCGGGGTCCTTTGCGGTCCCGCGGCTGTGCCCCACCCCACGCATGCTGCTTTCGTAGAGGCAGATGGTTAAGTAGCGCCCCCCCCCCAGAGGTGGCTGAGAACATCTTGCTTTTTAATTACAGAAGTAACATTTCTTAAGATTTAAGCAAGAAGTATGTAAAGTCAAAGGTAGAACTCCATCCCTTCCCCAGTCTGTACTATACGATTAACAATTATATATTAAGAATCTTATTAAATTAACTTGATACTATTTGTATAATATCTAGCAACTTCGGAAAAATTGAGATCTCATTGTTTTAAAAAACATTATCTCATACCTTTTTGTATTTTTTGCTGAATGGATGAGGGCAAAGTAATATTCTGCACATATCCCAAAAGGTACAAATAACACAAAGTAACCCACAGAATTAAGCGATCTTTTAAAGCTACGCGTTACAACCCATTAGAGAATTTTGTGACTAGCATTAAAAGAAAAAATTAAATAGAGTAGAAAACGAATATTTTGGTAAACACAGGTAGGTAATGGTCTAAACTGCGTTTCTCGTTAGGGTTATGGTGGAGCGGGCGTGGGCCCACCTGTGCACGCTGTAGGGTCCTAGGCAGCGCCTGGTGCTGGTCAGGTTGTGTCAGCTTTAAGTCGAGGGTCACGCCCTCAGCGCAGCACCTCTTACCACCGTGAATTCGCAGTCTCGAGGCAGTGGACAAGAAGCTGTGTCCTTACTGTTCCACATATGAAACGATTGTGCTCGAAGGCAAGATGATAGCTCCCAAGGGGGCAGGCAGGTGTCGGGTAGGATCTTACCTGTTGGAGCTGAAGACTTTAGTGTGTGAGGTGTGGGGGCCGAAAGGGCCCAGGGGAAGGGGACCCTGAGTTACATAGAGCAAGTTGCTGCCCTCGAGGTGCCGGGCACAGCGGAGAGGGCTGAGCCAGGTGCCAGGGCATGCTTCCATGCTGGAGGTGGGGGTCTGGAGGCACCTGGCGGCCCCGCCCACACACGCCGGAGCACCCCCTGTGGTGTCCTTTGTCCAGCTGCTTCCACGTGAGTGAGCAGGCGGTGCCTTGTTCTCGTGCGGCCCCTGCGCTCACGCTCTGGTGCCCTCCAGGTTCAACGCCTTCCACCCGGACACGCGGAAGCCGATGCACAGGGAATGCGGCTTCATCCGTCTGGAGCCAGACACCAACAAGGTGGCCTTCGTCAGTGCGCAGAACACAGGTACCCTCGCCAGCCGCACGGTGGCCCCTGCTCTCAGTCACGCGGGTGTCCCTGCTCGCGGATGCTTTTGTGGGGGACAACTGGGACACAGATGTGATCCTGTGAAGCATGCTGGGTCCTGTCTGCAGTCTCTGGGGGTCCCCAGGAGGCGGGGCCGCGGGGATGGCTCTAGAGAACTGGCTGGTTTTCTTTCCGCCCTAGTTCCTGCAGTAACCGCAGACCACCGGCTTCCACCCCCGTGGCGCAGGGGTTCGGTGGGGTTGGGGCTCTGGGGAGAGAGCTAGGGAGGCTCACTGTCCTGCGAAAGCTCTCCCATCTGAAAGTCTGCTTTGTCCCCAGAGGGAAGCCATCCTAAAATAGGTCACGAATTAGAAAGTATTCAAAACCCACCTGTGACTTGACCTGCTCACTGGCCCAGATGAGGCTGGCTCCCTGGAAGCAGGTGGAGTCAGGCCTGGACTGGAGCTGCCCAGAGCGGTGTTGGGCCGGAAGTCAGGGGCCAGCCAGAGGGGTGTCCATTCCTCTGGCCTGTGCCCCTCCCTCCGATCCCAGGGGTCCTATTTGGTGGGGAGAGATTGGAGTCAGGGCTCCCCTGCAGAGGGCGGCCTTCTGTAGGTCACCTGCCCCGCCTGTACGTGGCGTCGTGTCTCCTCCGTCTTGACGGCAGGGGGTTGGTTGCAGGCAAGGAGGCCGCGTTGCCTCGATGGCTGCAGAGCTCAGATCTGCTGAGTCTTTGGTTACGAAGACGGTGGGAGCCGGGGCCGCCAGGAACCCGAGGGCAGGCTGTTGTGGACTGGTGTCGCTCCCTTGCAGGCATCGTGGAGGTGGAGGAGGGCGAGGTGAATGGGCAGGAGCTGTGCATCGCGTCGCACTCTATCGCCAGGATCTCCTTCGCCAAGGAGCCGCACGTGGAACAGGTGAGCCGTCCGTCCGTCCAGCCACCCCCTCACGCGATGCTGCGTGCTGTGCTTTTCATCACGGGCGGGATTGCGCCTCGTTCCCTGACTGATCCCTCTGTCTTGGAGCGCTGTCCGGCCCCATGGCCGCCGTTCCCCCTCACTTCCCACGCGCGCCAGGGTCGGGGGGCACCGCAGTTTAGTCACCCGGTGCTTGGCTGGCGGCAGCGAGGTTCTCAGCTTTGTCGTCTTTCTGTTGCCAGCGTCCTCGTGCATTTATACTGTCCACTTCCGCACACACATCCACATCTATTGGATAAGTTTCTCCCAGCCGAATTGCTGGATCAGAGGATAGGCACATTTAAAATTTTGGTAGATGACTCTTAAATTGCTTTTCTTAACGATTGCATCCCCACCAGCTTTGCATGGGAAAGCCTGGCTCCCTACGCCCTCACCAACGAGGAGTGTTTTTAGACTTCCTGATGCTTTTGAACCTGGTAAATAAAAGATGGTATCTCATTCATGTTTTAAATTTAACATAGTGAGAAGGAGCATCCTGCATGCTCGGTGGCCGTTCATATTTCTCGTTCTGTGTACTTACTGTTCAAAGTCATTCTGGGGGCTTTCGTTTTCTTACTGATTTATGGGAGCTTTTTATATACTGTGGATATTCATTTATTGTCTGCTGCGTATGTGACAAATATTTTCCCATTCAGTGGCTTACGTTAGCTTGGTTTGTCATGCGTTCTACCCACAGGCTGTAAGCTTTTCGGTAGCTGCCTCTGGGGTCTTTTCCTTTGTAGTGTATGGATTTGGGTCTAGCTCAAGGGTTTTTCTGCTCCAAAATGATCAAATTATTCTTCCATTGTTCTTGGACTCCTGCAGCTTTCCTTTTCACATTCAGCCCTTTTCACAGTCTCTCTGAGGTTTGTTTTCACATGATGCCATATACAGTTCTGACTTTCTCCGATGGGTGACCAAGTGACCTCACAGGTTCAAAAGGTGTCAGTCTTAAGCCACAACCCCAGAAATACGGGGAAGGGCTCTGTTTCTGTTGGCCTTTTTACTTTTTCCATAGTAATTTAAAATCATCTAATAATTTAAGATTATCATAGCTGTATGTTAAATTTAATATCTAAGGAAAGGTGTCAGTATCTTTTCTTCTGAATTATCTTGGTTACTTAAGCGTCTCCTTTTCTAGAGGAACTGTCGAATTAGCTTGTCCAGGTTCATAAACCGACAGCAGGTGGGCGGGCACATGAATCACGTGGCGAGAACAGCGGCGTCTCCGGGTAGTGGTGCGCGGCAGCGTGGCGGGGGGTGGCGGTGACCTCAGGTCTTGTTTGGTGTATTTGAAAGATACCAAAGTTTGTTTCTTTATGACTTCAGTCATGTAAGTCTTGGACGCTTCATGGTAGGGTGAAGACTTGAATGCTGTGTAGTTTTTTGTTGCTATATAAATAGAACGTTGTTTCCATTTTAACTTCTAATTGGTTGTTGATGGTTGTGGGGAAGCTTCTGGTTTCTGTGTGTTTCTGTTGACCCAAGCCATGTTTGTCACTTTCTGACCACTGGGTCTTGAGCGCGGCACTGACCGGGCAGCAGGGTGAGCGTGTGTCACGCTGAGCCGTGACTGCAGGGAGGTGCTGTCTCGCGGCACTGACCGGGCAGCAGGGTGAGCGTGTGTCTGCAGGGAGGTGCTGTGGTGTCTCGGCCCTTGAGAGGCGCTGCTGCAGGCCCGTCGCTGTAGACGGCCGTTGCCAGGTCAAGGACATCCTGCGTCTGGTATGCTAAGAACTGTATTCAGGAGACGGTTTTGAGTTTCATCAAATGCCTTTGCAGCCTCTTTGGGGAGGATTCTGTGTTTTTTCCACTTGAAGCTGTTGGGTCAGTGAATTATATTAATAACTTTGAGTCATGTTTCTTTTTGAAGATCACGTGTACTAGTTATGATGTATTAAGTAATTTTTTGAGATCTCATTGTCTATTTTGGTATCAGTTGTTCATACAGTGAGCTGGGCCTCCAGGAATGAGGGGCGACCCCTGGGAAGGCGTCTGGGCCACGCACCGGGGAGCAGAGGGGCCCAGACCCGGATGGTGCTTTTGCGTCTGTCTTGTTTATCTCGAGGTTCCTACTTTGCTTTGTTTCCAGATACACATTTCCCAGGAAAAGTGCCAGTTTCGTGGGGATGTTCGAAGTTTTGGAGGAAAGCAACACACACGGCTTTCTGCCACCCGTTGCCTCTGTATTTTTGTGTCTTCTCCTTTTCTCATACTCACCGGAGGCTGCCTATTTTATCATTGTTTTGTTTGGATTTTGTTTATTTTTACTAGGGAACTAACTTTACATTTTACTAATGAAACAAAAAAGTGCCTCTTCTGCAGAAGGAGGGAGGGAGTAGGCAGAAGTGAGGCCCGTGGGGTGGGGCGGAGGGGCAGGCTCAGCTCTGCCAAGTGTCCTGCCTGACCAAAGGTGGATGCCCATGCCCAGGTGACCTTCCCCCCCAGGTGACCTTCCCCTCTGGGGTGACCTTCCCCCTGGGGTGACCTTCAGCACCTGGGGTGACCTTCAGCACCTCGGGTGAGTGCAGTCGCAGTCCTAGTCTGTCAGTGACTGGCTGATCACTGAACAGAGCCCTCCATGCTGTGGCGATGGTGGCCTTCCTCCTTAAGGCTGAGCCCTGTTCCCTCGTGTGCGGACCGCGTGTGCTTATCCACTCATCTCCTGGTGGACATGCAGGGTGCTCCCTGTCTTAGCTGCCGTGGACGCGGGTGCACATATCTGCTCCAGTTCAACCGGTCTGTGCCCAGAGGTGGGGTTGCTGGGTCACATGGTCATCCTGTGTTTAATGTTTTAAGGAACCGCTCACTGTTTTCCGCTTCCACTGCCCCATTTTCATCCCCGCCAGTGCCCAGGGCTCCCACCTTGTCTGCATCCTGTCAACACTTGCTGTTTTCTGCTTTTCGATAGTAACCATCCTAATGGGTGACGTGGTGTCTCATTGTAGTTTTGACTTGCATTTCCCTGATGATCGGTGACACTGAGCATCTTTTCATGGGCTTGTTGACCATTCGGGTATCTTTGGAGAAATGTCTATTCAGGTCCTTTGTCCATTTTTGAATGGGGTTGTTTGGGTTTTTGTTGATGAGTTGTAGAGTTCTTTATATGTTATAGACGTTAATTCTAACATCAGATATGATTGGTGAATATTTTCTTCTGTGGGTTGCCTCTTTACTCTTTGGAAAATGCCTTTTGGCATACAAATTTTTTAAATATTATGGAGGCCACAATTTGTTTATTTTTTGTTGATGTTGGCTGTGTTTGGTGTTAATGCTAAGAAACTATCGCCAGATCCAGTGGCATGAAGCTTTCGCCCGTGTTTTCTTCTAAGATTTTAAGTCGATTCATTTTGCACCGTTGTTTTGCGGACATGGTCGGGCGAGGGCCCCACTTCGTTTTTTTGCGCGTGGACGTCCAGCTTTCCTGGCACCGTCGGCTGAGAAGACCGCCCTTTCCCACCGACCCCGCGCGGCGCTGCCACCCATGCGCGGCTGGCCTCTGGGCTCTCCGTGCTGCGCCACGCCGCCCTGATCACCGTCGCCATGAGGGATTTCGAATCAGGAGCGAGTGTCCTCCAGCCTCAGTCTTTTTCCATTTGGGTGATTTATATTGACCTGTTTTCAAATTGACTGTCTCCTCTCTCCCGTTAGCCGTTAAGCCACGAGGCGAGGCTTCCGTCTGTGTTCTCACGATGCCCTTCTTCCCAGTTTGCTTCCTGGTATTTGTCTCCACTGCCACCGCGCGGCCCCGGTTCCTCCTCGGCCGTCAGGAGGCAGCGGCGGGTTTGGCTACAGTCCTGAGCTGTCTGCACAGCTTTCAAACTGGTTCTGCTCACGGGGCCTGCCAGGGAAGTGAGCCCCTTCACCCAGCTCAGGAACGGTGTTTAATGGCCAAGACGTGGACATACCCTGCATGTCCGTCAGTGGATGAGGGGATGACGCAGATGGGGTACACGCACGCACATGTGCACACACGCACGCATGCACGCACACCCTTTATGTCCGTCAGTGGACGAGTGGATGAAGCAGAGGTGGTACACGCACATACACACACGTGACACACATCTGCACGCACACACACACACCCCCTTCATGTCCATCAGTGGATGAGGGGATGAAGCAGATGTGGTACACGAGTGCACACACATGCATGCACACACAGCCTGCATGTCCATCAGTGGATGAAGCAGATGTACACATGCACACATGTGCACGCACACAAACGCACGCATGCATGCACGCCCTGCACGTCCGTCATTGGATGAGTGGATGAAGCAGATGAAGCACGCAAACACACGTGCACACACACGCACAAGTATCAGCCATAATTCAGAATGAAGTCCTGCCATTTGCCACGATATTGATAAACTCGAGGACTAAGTGAAATAAGTCAGACAGAAAGACAGCGCTGCAGGATCCCATTGATAAGTGGAGATAAAACCTAGAGCCTCACAGAGCAGAGAGCAGAACGGCGGCGGCTGCGGTGGGAGAGGCGGGGGCCGCTGGTCAGAGACCCAAACTGCCGCTTAGAAGCCGGGCGACTCTGGCGTCGGCCGCACAGCGTGGCGTCTGCCCGGGAGCCGATCTCAGGCCTCACGCACACACGGGGACGGCGGCCGCGCGAGGTGTCGGGTGGTAGCTCACCCGCCACAGTCATTCCGCCACGTACGCGTGTGTGAGGTCGTCACACTGCACAGCTAAGGCCTGCATCGTGACGTCTCAGTGAAGCTGGGGAGAAGGGGGGACGCCCTTGCAGCGCGTGGTGCACGTGGCAGTCCTGTGGTGACTGGCAGCCCGTCCGCGGGCAATGACGAGGGCCTGCAGAGCCTGGCAGGCCTTGGACAGCACGCTGATGGCGTGGGACCGGGCTCAGCCCTCCGTCCCGCTGCAGCGTCCGTGCCCGTGCGGGAGGCACACGAGCCCCTGCAGCTTCTCGAGCCCTTCGCGTTAAGGCCTGAGCGAAGGTCGGCGCTCTCCCGTCTCCCGACCTTCCATTCGGCTCCTGTTCCCTACTGAACGAAACGCAGGAACGAGGGGAAATGTTGGAAAAGCATCAGGACGCCAGGAGGTTCTCACCCCGCTCGCACCCACGGTCGCATTGCTCTTGGGTGCGTGTGGCGGGAAGAGC